AGATTAGTGGTTGCCAGGGATTGAGGGGCTGGGGGACACGGAGAATTAGGAGTGATTGCTAATGGGTACGGGGTTTCCTTTTAGAAAGATGAAAATATTCTAAGATTAGACCATTGTGATGAAGGCACAACTCAATATACGAAAATCCACTCAACAGTATGGTTTAAAGGAGCAAAATGTATGGTAGATATAGATCAATAGAGCAGTTATAAAAAGCCTTCTTCAGAGTTTGAAAAGCCCTCACTACAAATAACCATAGAATCCTATCTACCCAGAGGCGCCTGGGTGGCTCAGTCATTAAGCGTCTGCCTTCGGCTCAGGTCATGATCCCAGGGTTCTGGGATCGAGCCCCGCATTGGGCTCCCTGCTCAGCGGGAAGCCTGCTTCTCTCTCTCTCCCACTCCCCCTGCTGGTGTTCCCTCTCTCACTGTGTCTCTCTCTGTCAAATAAATAAATAAAATCTTTAAAAAAAAAAAAAAAATCATATCTACCCAAAAAGGTTTACAAGTAGTTTTAAACAGTTCTTAATACAAAGAACAACATAACTTACAGACTCTGTCTCAAAGATTCCCACCATGGATCTACAGTCAGGGGAGAGCTGACTGTGCACATTCTTTGCCACCCATTACAAGACACAGGGGGCAAAAATCTCAGAAAAAAATGACATTTCCCCGCCTTGCTTGCACAAAGACAAACACGTTTCCCTTTATGAAATATGAACAAACAAAAATCACCTGGAGCTTGGATGATTTAAATCCATACCTGCACTAGCCTGGGGGGTGGCGCAGACACTGCCTTGGAGCCACAGTTCTAGACAGAGCAGGATTATGACACTCACCTCAAGCTCTTCACTGTCTTTGGGCTTCTCCTCAGAGGTCTGTTTGACAAAGTCAGGGATAAGGATCTCCAGCGTAGCTCGGGCTACGAAAAGAAAAACCCCAAGGGTGAGGGCTTGGACCCAGCTTGCTTCCTGACTCCAGAGCAAGCTGCACGCTGGCTCCTGCGCAGGGCCAAGGTTCCCATGGCTCAGAGGGAAGCAAGGGCCCTGGGGAACAGCACTGCTTCCGAGGCAGGGAGAGTAGAGGATGGAGGAGCACATCCTGAGCAAAGGACACAGTGGGGCAAGTGTTAGGCTGTGGGCAGCCTCCTAAGCCACAAAAGCTGCATGTACTCTTGCCCTGAGGTACTTGTAGCAGGCAAGGCAGGCGAGATCTGTTTCAAAGAAATCACGGTGGTGGCGTGCAGGCAAATGGCTCAGCAGGACCCAGGCCAAGTAGTGAGGCCTGAGGACTGAGCAGGCTGCTGTTGAGCGTGGGAGGGAAAAGCAGTGAGACTGGACGGATACTCTTGAGAAAGCGTCTGCAGGACAGAGGAGAGGGATGGCTCAATGCTGAGCACAGATTTCTGAATGAGCAGGGCTGCCACTCACCACTGGGGTGGGAAGTGAGGAGTGCTGGGGAATGCGGAGGGGTAACAATCTGACCCTACAGAGTCGTAGGTGCTAGCAAGTGAGATATCTAGAGAGCAGCTGGGATCTGGGCAGAGGAAGTGGATCCTTACACGTGAGGAGAGCAGAGCCCTACTGCCAGGACGTTTCCACCCCCACAATGGACCCTACTCTGAACTATTTGCCCCATGACCTTGGTAGCACTAGTTTGCTGAGCTGAAAAAGCCTTTTGGCACAATCTCTCTAAAATGGAAAGCAGGCCTTCCTGGAGAAGGGGTGTAGTGCATGATCCCAGCACAGCCTCACAGAAGGAAGGACAGAAAGTAACATATCCTCTCAATCATCCTCAGCATATACCACAAAAGAAAGCAACTCCAAGGTAAACTCAGAGTCACATGAACAAAAGCACTTTCACCACCCAAGACCTGGTAAGAATGTGATGAAACTGACATACTTCATGCCTGTACAGGGCAGAGTGCTTTGGAAGACACTACAGCAGAGGTAGAAACCTTAAGAACAGAACTGTGGGGGGCACCTGGGTGGCTCAGTTGGTTGGGCGTCTGCCTTCGGCTCAGGTCATGATCCCAGGGTTCTGGGATCGAGTCCTGCATTGGGCTCCCTGCACCGCGGGGAAGCCTGCTTCTCCCTCTCCCACGCCCCCTGCTTGTGTTCCCTCTCTCGCTAGGTCTCTCTCTGTCAACTAAATAAATAAAATCTTTAAAAAAAAAAAAAAAAGAAAATCCACCTCTTTGTCATCTAGCATGCCCATGTTTTGCACGGTTTACGAACAACCCCACTCTAGAATGTGTGCTCACCACGGCCCAGTGAGCTCTGTGAGCAGTGGGGACAAGGGCGGGAGATTCTGGCCCAGCTGCCACAGAGCAGAGAAGGTTTGAATTTTCTAGTTTTATTTCTCATATTTTACTTCCTCTATTTGAGTCTTTTCCAATGAGCACATACTTTTAAAAAACCAAGTTAGAGGATTACATAAATCAAATGGATTTGCCCCACCCCCAGCCCTCCCTAGCCAAGGGGAGGGGCGGACACTGTGGGCAGCATGGGTCTCTGACACCCAAGCAGGCACATTACCAGCTTTATTCTTCGCAAGTTTTTTGCTGCTTGCAGTTCCAGATCCATAGGTCACACCATCAATGGTCACTGAGGCACCAAAAGGCTCACTTGGGTTCTCTTAAAATTAAAATTACGGTTTTAAAAATACTTGCCAAGACAGTAAAAGCGCGCACGCACGCACACATACAATCTGCTAGCACCAACAGACAAGGCGGGGTCAGGGCTACTGCTGAAAGGCAGAGACGGGGGCTCCCTGAGGCATGGAGATAGGGCCAAGGATTGGTCAGCAGGCAGAGAGCATGCCAGGAAAACTGGGAAACGGGGGACCATAGGTTCGTAAGCTGGAGGGGAAACAGGAGGCCAGAGGCCAAGCCACCAGGGACAGGGATCAATGTCTGTGAAGGATGGACAGAGGACTGTGAACAGCAGAGATGCTGAAGCCAAGGGAACAACATTAAAACAATGAGTGACTCCTGGGTTCAGGGTTCTACAGGGAAGACAAACTAGTTTTCACAAAGGTGTGATGTGGATGGTGACAGGAGAAGGGCTGGTGGGAAGTGCAGGCCGGAGGCCCCTTCATCCACCTCGGGGCAGGTGGAGACAGTGGGGGGCCTTCCTCAGAGCAAGGGATGAGAAGAAGGTGGGAGTGGGGGGAGTGTGGATAAAGAAAGGGGGAAGCAGGGGCATTTGTCCTCAGAAGGGACACACAGCTGTGAACACAACCCGCCCACCTGCAGCACGCTTCTCCCCGCCCTGCCCTTTCACTTCTATCCCAGCAGAGTGGGGTTAATGATCAGTTCCCGCCTCCCCAGCCGTGACCCCAGCGAGGTGTAGGATTCTTCAGGGCCGAGATGAGGGAAGTCAAACTTACCACATTCAAAGAAATTATAAACGGGGCGGACCTTGAGGACGCGCTGCATGTACTCGTGCAGGATGCAGACCTCGGACTTCCCGTTGGGGTTAATGACAAACTCTGTGACAAGAAGGCCTATCTCAGCAACAGCGTGAGGACCTGCCGCAAGCTAGCACTCGGGACCTGGCACCATCCAAGTTAGCGACTCACTGAATTAGGGGCTCACCACCGTGAACGTAGTGCACCTCTGCATTCGTAGGGTAAACATAAGCTTTGAAATAAATGCAACTCGCACACAAAGCATATGTTCTAAGACCATCAAGTGAAAAAAAAACAGGATAACCAATCTGCCCAAGATAAAATTTACGTGCCCCAACTCACCTTTCTTTGTGGGTGCATCCTGCACAGACAGAGTGATGAGCTTCTGATTGGCCGGCAGGATGGGCCTCTCGGACTCGGCCTGTTTCCGTTTCATTTCTCGGTTAAACTGTCGCCGCTCGGCCCAAGTCCTGAATTTCTTCACAGTGACTTGCTCAAAGTCAAAACGCTTTTCCAGGTAGTTCCGAAATTCCTCAAGATCTGTGTGGATTTACCAGAGAACAAAACTGCTAACTTCCAACCTAAGAGTCATGTTCCCTCTGTCCAGTGAGTAGGATGGTGACGGGCTGCCCATCAAACAGGCCCCGCCATGCCATTCCCCACTCCCCTTTCCCTTTTGAAGGGCAAACAAAGCAAAGGATCAGGTCCTTTCTTTTTTCTTTTTTTAAGATTTTATTTATCTATTTGAGAGAGAGAGAGAGAGAGTGCGCAAGAGAGAGAGCACAAGTAGGGGAGAGGCGCAGAAGGAGAGGGAGAAGCAGGTCCCCGCTTACATGGGGCTCGATCCCAGGACCCTGGGATCATGACCTGAGCTTAAGGCAGACACTTCAGACTGAGCCACCCAGGCGCCCCTGAACCAGGTCCTGTCACTCAAATTACTCAGGAAGGTCCCTTATGGACAAATTTCTAGATGCTCTTTTAGTCTATTTGGAACAAGAAAAAAAAGAAAAAGCTTTAAAAACAAAACAAAACAAAACCAGATGGCCTTCAAGACTTTTCTCCCTGTATCAAAACAAGTACCACAGCAGCCGAAGCACTGTGCACCTTGCGCTCTTCCTCTCCGGCCAGCCTGGCTGCCTGCACACTCAGCAACACACCCAGGCAGCTAGGGCCCTGGCACCTGTCATGCCTCTCCCCACACAGCCCCTGGCCCAATCCCACTGCTCACCACCCACCTCCACTCAGTGAAGTTCCCAGGGGCCTCCTGCTTTTACTGTTGCACCCACTACCCCTCTCGCTCCCAGGATATCCTAGAGGGTCACATCACCCTCACTGGTTTCTTATGCAAGTGTAAGCCCTGAGGCAGGGACTCTTGTGGTTCACACCGAGCCCTAACAGCAATGCCTGTGGAAGTAGAGGGAGGAAGTCCATGTGCAAGACCGAGAAATACATGGTTAAAACACAAGGCTGTGAAACAATATACCTGCACCCACTTAGTTACACACTAAACCACGTATTTCTTTACATGTGAATGCAGGGAAAGAAGTCTGGAAATAAGTACAAGTGGTCACCTCTTCCAAAAGGAGTAAAATTAGAAGTGAAAGAGAGGTCTTTTCCAAAAAACAAGAACACGTTCAGGTGTTACATGTGCATAAAAGATGGATTTGAGGGGCGCCTGGGTGGCTCAGTTGTTAAGCGTCTGCCTTCGGCTCAGGTCGTGGTCCCAGGGTCCTGGGATCAAGTCCCACATCGGGCTCCCAGCTCAGCGGGAAGCCTGCTTCTCCCTCTCCCACTCCCCCTGCTCGTGTTCCTGCTCTCGCTATCTCTCTCTCTGTCAAATAAATAAATAAAATCTTTAAAAAAAAGAGATGGATTTGAAGAAAGAAACCATTACGTTGAAGTCTTAAAGCGAAAACTCTGTTCCAGCTGGGTCCTTAGAAAAGCCCGGACACATGGACAGAAGACAGGGGCAGCTGACGTGGATGGGGAGGGAGGCAACAGGCAGGCAGGTTGCAGGGAGATAGCAGTCTGTCCATGCGGGGATGCTGGGGGCCAGTGACACACCCTGCCTTTCCCTAGATGCCTAAGGCTCCAACCAGCCCTCTCCACCAAGGCCCCTCCCTCAGCAGTGGTGCACCCACCCACCCCGCCCCAGCTTTTCTAGGCTCCACACACTTAAGAGTTACAAGGAAGGCTGGGCAGCAATATTCAGACAATATCTAAATAGCAAAAACCAAAATCCTGAAAACACAAAGTCCTCTTTGAAAGAGATTCAGCAGGTGGGCTGAGAGAGGTCGGCCACCACTGTAGACAACTAAGAATTTCACGGGTAGGCCTAAGTTAAAAGACACAGAAGAGAGAAGAGAAACACCAATACATAGCCAAAAGCAATTATGGGGTTGAAGAGGGAAACATCCACAGAATAGTGGCTGTCTCCCAGTACTGAATCTGTGGATTGAAGTAGTTCATTCTGAGCGCATCAAGACAGATCAAAACAACGCCACATGAACATATCCTACTGAAAAACCAAGATTTCAGGAAAGGTCACAAAAGTAACCAGAGAAAAACGCCAGTGTGCACTGACAGTAGCCATCTCCACGGCAGCCCCGGCCATGTGGGGCCTGCAGACCCAGGCAGGTTCTAAGATCAGGGAGACAGGCATTTCCAACCACGAAAGAGTGGAGAGAGGTCCCCAGAAGTCCCTTCCTCACAGACAAAAGCAGGAACAGGTGGCCTCAGCAGGAGGAACGTGACCCCGGGGAAGGCATGGAGTGCAGCCACATCCCTGCAGATGGATCACAGCCAACAAGGAAGGAAGAAAGTTCACCCCAGAAACTTACCAACTGATTCGTCTTTGCACACCTCAACCTTGGCCTTCACCTGCCCCAGGGCCCCGGGGGCACCCTCAGCCCCCAGTGGGTCCTTCTCATCGAGGGCCCCCGAGTCAGCTCCCATGGAGTCAGGCTCTTCCAGGGGGAACTCCAACTCTGCAGATCGGCTCAGGGGCTTGACAGGGGACACTTCCCCACTGGGGGTGAGCTCACTGTTTTGCTCTCTTTCCTCATTGTCCTTCATTTTCTTGTAATGCAGACAAGGAATGCTGCTCAGAGGAGGATCATGTTTCTGTGGATAGTGAAATTGCAACACAGATTACAAGGATGACCTCAAAGCTCTGAACATCTGAAGCCTTCCACTTGCCTCTGCCTGGCTAGCATGCAAACACAGCGTGTGTATGTTCAGTCTGCAAACTTACAAGACTAAATTCATGACTGATGCATCCCCTACCCGTATGCTTCCCGTTCCCAGGAAGTACGGCCTGGACCAGGTGACCACCCGAGACTCTCTGTGTAGGTACACCGGGACTCCGGAGTTATGGAATGTCATGATCCACCCGTCGGGCAATGGTTCTGTAGGAGGACGGCCACGACCTGCACAGAAGACAAGAGCATCCTACAATCACTTCAGAAACCCTCTGAGTTGTAGAGATGGCTTCAAAATTATGACACATGGCAGATAAAAATAGTAAAGTCAACCAAGGATTGATTGGAAAGAACCTCTAAGAACTAGGGGAGTAGAGGAGTACCCTCCCCTCCACCAGACAGAGCCTACCCAGCCCTGCCTGCCACTCAGCGCCTCCAATGCACGAAACTCTTCTCAATTGTTGTGCTTGTTTATATGGCTCCAACCCAGAGAATCTAAGTCCCTCCTCAATAGCAGGAAGCTGTCCACCTTGTTTACTGCTATACTCTTTGGCCTAGAACAGCACATGGTGCACAAAGGAGCCTGGGATGAGGTTCTACAAGACAAGAGTCCTAGCCTCAGCTGCTGCCTGCACAGCTGTGGGCACCACGGCCATCAATCCCTCACTGCCTGCCTTGGCTATGGCCAGAGGCACCCCAGGGGCTGAGTAAACTTTGCTAACAAATTGCATGTCTGCCGACCACTGCTCCCTGTGACTCGACAGCAAGTGTTCATTGTACCTGAGCTGCATACTCTCACCAGCACGTGAAACTACTTCCAATTCATACGTTTCTAAGTCAGTTTTAGAACACTACTCCCAACCCCTTCTTTGCTTTACAGGCAGTCAAAGAAAAAAGCTCAAGACTTGTTACCCACTTGACACCTGCCACTAACAGGCCTGGTGACTAGGAAAAGCACAAAGATTTAACTGAAACGTAATTCTCTAACAGGAATTGGGAACAAGTGAGAAATTTAGGGACAAAAGAAAAAAGCAAATGAAATTTTAAAAACACAGACATAATGAAATGGCATGAGGGACTCTCACGGACAAGGGAGTAGCATCCCAGTGCCTGGTCCCCACCCGGCAGTGTTAACCCTTGGCCTGACATCAGAACATAACAATCCTGGCTGGATGGCTGATGTCAGGATGGCCCCCAGGAGGGAGCACAACAGGTCAGAGGTGCACAGACACTGTCACACACTTTCCCCTACCCGGGCCAGAGCCAAGGAGCTGCCTCACACCATCTTTGGGCTAAGTCAGGACAAGGAGAAGCAAACAAAATGCTAGCAAAGTACAACATGGGTCACTGGTGCACCTGGGCTACTCATTTGTGACAAGTAGCAGTCATAAAGCTGGCCCAGCCGTCTGAAGAGCTCACATGCAGCTTACACGCAGCCTGTGAGCCTGAGGCCCATGCCACAGCTCCTGGGAGGCAGCACTGTGGGGCAGGCTGCCAGGTGGGTGAGGTGGAGCAGAAGGCTGCAGAGGGAAAGGCACAGCAGTGCCCGGTGCAGGCAGGCCCAGTGGCATCCCTGAAGTCATGGCCAGGCACACTGTGAACCTGAACCAGGCTGCTCAGAATGGACACGGCTTTGTGGCACCTAGCATAGCCAACCCGTCCACTCTGCAGTGGGAGACTGCACACCACCTGCCCCTCGATTTCCTCCCATCACGCCAAGCCACCTTCTGCACTCCAGCCCTCAGCCTAAGGTCTCAACTGTGTGCCTGAGTCCCCACGCATCCGTTCAGCCCCTTCCCACTGCCCAATGCCCAGCCCCACAAGCAACTCCAGGCCGACTGCCCCACCCCCCAAATCCAAGTGCAGCTTTGGAACACCTTCACCCCTACCACAGGAGCTCCCACTCTAGCCACCTAAAGTCCACACACCATGCTGTAGCCATAGGAGCTGTGCCTTTAGACAAAAATTGTGTAACAACACCACCTGCCTGCTTCTAGAGGCTTCCCCTGACACTTGGTGGAGAATCCAGAAGCCAGACTACAACCATCACCTGCCACAGTGCTGCACCCACCTCTGGCCTCGGTCTCACATCCTCTAGTTGCCCATCTTGTCATCTCCCAGCAACATCATCCCCCTCCACCACCCCATCAGAAGTGCCTCCCCACTCCCCTGCACAACACCAGCCGCTCCAGTGTGTGTCCACGCATGACACCACAATCTGCACCCGGGTCACTGTGCATCTGGTGCTTCCTTGTGTCTTGTCTGTCCCCCCTTCACCACACATGACTGTCCTCCCTCAAACATGTGCCCACTGCTAAGACCACTGCCTGGCACCCAAGGGCTCTCAAAACGGCACTTCTACCGCCCCACAAACACACTACTTTCTGACTGGCTGACTTACTTTTTAGCACAGTTTTAATCTTGGTCATCATTGGCTGCACACTTGTCTCTCCGTCAGATGGATGGTCACTGTCTCCTCCGTATTTCTCCTCCATTCGTCTCTTTTTGGGAGCACAAAGGCCCTCTTCCAGCAGAGCATCAACATCGTTGTCAAAATCATCCTGCAAAACACGCTGTTCAGACACCAGGGCCCCCGGAGCCTGCATTCCTGTACCGTAGGCAAGCTTAACAGCATTAGTGAGAACAGACACAGAAATGAGGCACTCTCAAGTGGGGCCTAGGTATGCCTTTATGTTGCGTGATCATCTGAAAAACAAACAGGAAGAAACTGACAACTGCAACCAAAACACTTGACGCTTGGCACAGGTGCACACGCCACCAGGAAGCGCTTCTCAGCAGCACCTTCCAACTCAGGTTGCATAAAGGTACAAGGTCGACTGCTCAGCCAAACCTTTCTTTAGGAAAATTTAAAAACCTGGACTTCTTACAGCTTTTTCTTTTCCACATTAACATTATTCCACCTGATATGGGTTTTTTTTTTCCTCTGCAACATCAGCTTTCAAAAGATGCTGCGGTTCCCAACACCTCTCTTTGGGTTTTGCTAAGAGTGCTCCAAAGGCGGGGTCGCCGACATACCTCATAGGAGAAGTTCAAGGCCTCTTCATCCACTCTGTCTCTCTGCACGATTGCTTTAGCCGTGAACCCGCCTGTTCCTTCTTCATCTAGCTCCAAATTGTCAGTAAAATCTTCTAACTCATCGAGCACTGCGTACTCCACTCTCTTTTCCTGATCCAGCTCATTCTCCTCATCCTTCTTATCAGCACTCTCACCCCCTACACCTACCCCATTCCCAACACTCCCGCCAAAGGGACAAGCATGCACGTCTCCACTGACAGGGCTAAGGGCCAGACCGCACTCTGCGCGAGCGTCGCGCTCCACTCCTGTGTACAGCACCTTCCTGTCCTTACTCCTGCAGCTCTCGGTAAAGCTCACGCTAATCTTTACATCCTTAAGCAACTTAAGGTCAGGGGAGAACTTCCGGACCGCAGGTGCGTGCCGGGCGGTGCGCGGGCTGTGGCCACTACAGTTCGGGTCTATGAGGAGGCGGGCCTTAGAGAAGGATCCTTTGGAGAGAAGAGAAGCTCCGTAGAAGTTGAGCGGGTCCTCAGCAGGGGGTTCGGCCTGTCCATCACCACCAGAGCCAACGTCCATTACCTCTGCATCACTGGACGTTTGCAGGGGAGGTGGTGGAGACTGTTCACGGGGCAGCGCTTGAAAGGGGCAAGCTCGGTTCTCCATCACCGCTTCTCCTGCGGGCTCACGCGGGAGAGGAGAGGGACTCTCATATGTCTCCATAGTAAAAGTGGTTAAGACTATTTTAAAAGACCAGAGTTTTAAAAAACCTTACATAAATCTATACAGCTAACATGCACAAGTCCGCTGAGACCCGGGTGCCGTCCTGCCCGCGCTGCACACGCCGGCGGCTTAGTCAAGCTGGCCACATTGCTCTTTTCATTAATGTAGACAGCTTTTAGAACCACTGCCTCAATTATTGGAAATCACAATGCACTCAGCTTAAATGACTGACGACTAAGCGAGTCTGTCTTCATGCCAAAGTGGCACCTTTCTTCTTCCACCTGCAAAGAGATTTAAAAACATCGTCACAAAATGACAGAAACCTTCTACTTCCCTGGTACTAAGAGTCAAGTGCTATTAACAGTGTAGTAAAGAACTTGAAATACTACTGCCTTAAAGAACCTTCTAGGCTTCAAAACAAACTAGCTCTACATTCTTCCTTCAGAACCTAAATTATAATTTAAGTCCTAAGTTAAATATCTTACTAATTGTCCACTGTAATTCCTACTTCAGAAGCACAAAAAGTATTATCTTAAGGCTCAAAAAAGATTTTTAAAAACTAGGCTAAGCTTCACCGCAGCATTCCCCTAACTCAGTTTATTAGGTAAGCAAGCTCGCGGTGCAAGGCTGCCCTTTCCAGAACACACATAAGGTGTGTGGCCTCCCTCTGGCCATCAGAGCGACATGGATCCACTCACCTGCTAGGGCTGGGTCAGTCAGAGGGCGAGGGCGAGTGCGAGACCCTCAGCTCAACTCTGCGGCACTAGGGCCTCAGAGGTACAGCCAGGCGCTCTGCTACCCAGGGACCCCAGGGCTCTCCTGGGCCCACAAGGTGGCGGGTGGACCGGGATAGTGATGCAGCGTGCTGAGGTCGCCAGAGGTGGCATGGTTCTGTTCCCAGTAGAGGAGGGGATGGTGGCTGTGGGGAAGGGAACCTGGCCAGGGTTGGTTGGGGGAGCCTCAGGAGACAGCTGGAGCCAAGGCACAGGAAGTCCTGGGTGCCATCTGGAACCTGGCTCCCTCCTGGGGGCAATAAGGAGCCACCAAGGGTGAAGCGATTCCCATGCCACAATTCAGCCCCTATTTGAAAAAGGAAACTGACAGCTGTGCCAGGCCCAGTGCCTATGCCCAAGGCACAGAGGGCAGTCCTCCAGGCCAAAGCACAAAGGTGTGAATGAGGCTCTGGTGACAGGGCTGGAGCCCTCAAGAACAGTGAAGACACAGAACTGACCACACTGCTGACTGGGTAGAGGTGGAGAGCAAAGACAAGAGGGAACTGAAGGCAAATGAGGCTTCTCCCCTGGGAGGACACACGTGTTCCAGCATTCAGGCAAGAGCCTGCCAAGGAGAATGGATGGAGCCTCTAGGCAGACCTGTCCAACAGGTGCTGAGGCCACAGCTCTGGAGCTGTGACTGGCCCAGAAACAGAAGGCCAGAACACATCAGGGAGGTGATAGTCGCCAAAACCACAGGAGAGAGGCTGCCCAGAGAGGCAACACAGACCAAGAAGAGGGTTAAGGATGCAACTCTGGGAAGCTTCCCTTCAGAGAAAAGACAACAAAAGGGATGACGTGAAAAGGCAGGTCAGAGGGACAATCCAAAAACCCAGAGGTCTGCAGGAGGGCCGGGCATCAAAGCAGGAGAAGCACGTGCAGACGCAAACGTGTATGCGCACACACTCCCACACCATGCAGACACACACACACACACACACACACACATGAACATGCCATGCACACGGGTGCAGATACGCACATGCATGCCCATGCCCACATAGGGCAGGCCTGACTGGCTGCATGGACAGAGCAGAAGACAGCAGACATCACACACTTAAGAAGTTTACAGTGAAGGAGTAGAGCGTGGTGGTTGTACTTTCAAGGAGACACAACATAAAAACCAAAGACTTACTCAGATTTAATTAATTCCTTCAACCAATATTCACTGGCCTTCTACTCTAAAGGATGTACTACCATGAACAAGAGACAAGGTCCCCACCACCTGGACACAGCTGGAAGGGCAATGACCACTGAGCTGTCACTCTATTTCCTAGACTCTAAGATGTCCTTACATTTCTGAATTCAATGGGAATTTTATCACAATACTTCCCCCAAAGGTGTATCTGTCAAAGGTGCTAAAGATCAAGGGAATACAGCTTACAGATAACAAGACTCAGAACTGAGGTAAACGCTAAGGAGGCTGCAGCTGAACAGGCATGAGGAGAACCGAGTGAAATAAGGCCAGTCTCCTGGCAACCAACAAAGATCATTTCAGAGAAGGACAAACAGGTCAGCATGTCCAGTGCTAAAGAACACAGATAAAAATCAGGACCAAACCCCTCAGCTTCTGGTAGGTCTGTGGAGACACTAGCCAAGAGCCAATCCAGTGATTCTGGGGGCTGAAGGGGGGGGGCTGAAGACAAAGGGTGGTACAGGATGGGGACACCTGCTAGTGTTAAAAGACCAAGCAGCTGCCATCACCAAAGCACAAAGCAAAGATGATAATGACAACAATGCAGGGAGGCCTGAAAGAGGTGCAGAGGGTGGGGTCAGGGAGCCGTAGAGAAAAAAGAGTGTTCTTTCTCCCTGGGGGATCAGGAAAGCCTGCCCAGCCCCAGGGGGCAGCAGCTCAAGGCTCAGAACTCCGCAGTAGGGCAGTCCTGGGCAAGTTCCTTACTTTCCCCTGTAAGCTTGCTCTACTCATTCAACAAGTGTTTGCTGAATGCTTTCCACATGGCCCACGTACCATTCTAGATGCTAAGGACGCAGAACAGACAAAATCTGTACCCACAGAGCTCACTTTTTAGCAGGACAGATGGAGAAACAACTAAGAAAAGCTGATTAGTATTCAAGAGAAAACAAAGCGGGGGGGGGCAGCTTCATAAAGGGCAGACAGCAAAGACTGCACAGTCGGAGTCCATCTGAAGGCAGAAGAGAGTGAGCTGGGTAGGTGGGAGCAAGGGACATTCCACGTGACAGAAGAGCAAAGACCCTGGGGTAGAAGTGCAGTGAAGGACGTGAAAGCAGCGTGCTAAGTGAAACTGAGACCAGGACTGTGGCTCTTATCTTAAGAGATGGGCCACTGGACAGGAGGGTCCAAGCACTGAGGTGGCATGACCCAAGGACAGCAGTGGCAACCAACCCTCAGCCAGGCCCTGCTCTAAGAGTGTTATGCATTTTCACTCACCAGTTCTCACACAGCACTAAGAGAGAGGTTAAGGACAGAAAGGTTAAGCAACTTCCTCAAGGTCACACAGCTAGAAAGCAGTGAAGCTGCTTTACCACCCAGGCAAGCTGGCTCCCCTCCTCACTTCCTTGGTTTTACACTATCCTACAGTTTAAAAGAATCATTCTGTGTCCAGAAAAACTATCATGGGTGAGTGGCAGGGAGGAGCAAGAGTGAGAGCAAAGTGAAGAATTAAGAAGCTCACCAGGCAGTTCAGAATAGCACGTTAAGCTGGAGGTGGTAAGAAATTGTCCTGAGTGTTGCATGGAGGCCTAAGAGAGGAATCCAGGTGACTCTAAACTCATAAACGGAGCTGTCGTGCACTGAGGTAGCGAAGGCAGCATGAGAAGTGTTGTGGGGTGGGTGAAGAAAAGGATTTAGGTTTGGCCATGGCTACTTGGCATCAAAGTAACATATAAAGATTTGGAAGAGACAGCAGCTCAGAAGGGAGGCCAGGGCTGAAGAAGGCGATGGGAGCTGTCAAGGAGAAAGGGCATTAAAGCCAGGAAGCTGGATGAGACCACCAAAAGGGGAAGGGCAGCTACTAAGAGGGACCAAGACCAGGCAATCCAGTGAGATTCATGTTTTCTACTACCAAGGTCACGGTCAGATTATAAAACAATCCCCAGGAAGTGCCCTACAGAGTGCCTGGCCATAAAGAGCTCAAAGAGTGACTCTCCCACCATCAGCCTCACTGCTACTGCAGCTGATTGAACACACCGATGCAAACCTTGCTTGCCAAGTGGACTGCAAGCCAGCAGCAGGCTCCCCTGGATCCCTGGTACATGGGGTAAAACCAACAGGCTTGGACAGCGCCCTTCACTGAAGTCCACTTGCTGAGCTGGCATCGAGTCGCTGACTGTAACGTCCAGGGCTGGGGCTGGTGCCTTTCGGTCAAGCCTCTCACACTGCAGCCTCCCGCCCAACCCAGCAGCAGTATGACCTCATCCATTCCTTTTGTCATCCTCCAACAGGCCTCACATCCTGTACTCACAGGCGCACTCCTGACTGGCCATTCACTCCCTCTGGTGAGTAACAGCCTGCGGCAGGGTTTGAGCCACTGTGTGCGAGGCGCCTGACTGGGAGTCCAGGCTTAGACCAGTAAACAGAGGGTCTCCGCCTGCTGGTTGGCCTCACACAGTCACCAGCCCTAGCCTGGACTGCCGTGCATCAGGTAACAAGGTACATGCAAGCATGCAGAACAGCAAATCAAATTCCTACCATGAGAAACCCAAGTCCATCGAATGATACTTGACAGGTACCACTATCAACAGGTTGCCACCTTCCATTTATTTCTACCACGACCACTGTTACAACAAAACCACGCTCCGCTTATCTAAGTGACACTCAATCCATAAGCATTTGGCGGAGAAAAAGATTCAGGCGACTTCTCAGATTTCCCAAACTGTTATACCCGGCAGGATCCTGGACGAGCACTACCCATGTTCATACCTTTCCCGCCTGAAAGCGACGCTACGGCTTCAGGCCCACAGAGCGAAGGGCCTCTTTACACTCGGGCTGTTTACCCGGGCGGAGAGCGACCGGCGTCGGCGCCACCTGGGCCTGGGGCCCGCCCCCACCCCACCCCCACCACGGCGAGACCCCCGCCCCGCGTTCTCCGAGGCCCGCGGCCATGATGTTTCACAAAGGCCGGGACTCCGCGTGGCTGCCCCGCCTC